TTTTTTTTTTTTTTTTTCACGAATATATTGGTAGAAATTTTATTTACGTACACGTAGATCATAATGTGATCGGAATTCGAACGGTGAGAAAAATTTCAACATTTCTCGCTTTTTCGCAAATAAAGCAAACTTCGTTCTTTTTGACATCGTTTTGCAATCAAATTGTAGAAATAATTGACCTTCGCGACTTGAACAAGTGAACTTTGCTTTATCATGTAAAAACGACTCTGTACTTCTTGTTCCCTCTATTTTGTTCATAACCATCAGCCTGCATGAAAACTTTAATACATCTCTAGTAGGTATATTTAATGCACCCGTCCACTTAAAAAAGAAAGAGAAACGAATATCCAATTCCCAGGCTTTTCTCAAAAGAAGCTTCTATTAATCGAATGGAAGTTTAACTAAAGCCAAGCCACGTAATCTGTCATTGGCCGCAATTTTACTTCCAACTTGGTCGTTCAACCACGGCCTTTTCCCACCGACTGCTAACTCATCTGACAAGGCTTGTCTTCAGACAAGCTACAATAATTCCAACATTCGCTTAATCTCTAGATCGAAATCTGCCGCTCACCTTTCCACTCTTGGCGTTGATCCCGACGACCTTGGGTGGACACCTGCGAACAGGTTGCTCCAGAGTGTTGACGATTCCCACATCGAGCACCCACAGGATGTCCTGAATGTCCAAGACTATGTCCACCGCGCTCTGCAACGCCTGGCAGTTCCCTTCCTCTTGGATGGCCCAACAAGGGAACGGAGTGATCTTTGGCTCGCAGCTGTGCGACTTCAACGACAGGGCACCCAAGGTAAATGGCACCCCCGGCTTGTAACGCGGCAGGGCCAATATCGCTTGGCCGTCGAATATCTGTGCCCTGGTGGCGATCACGTTTCTCGAGATGTATCGACCGCTTGCCTCGTATATGTTCTTCGTGCTTTGACACGGCCAATCTAGACTGAGCCCTGAGAGGACCAATGGCTTCGGTAGCAACGGTTTACCATTACTGAACAGTAGAATCTCCGTCGTCAGGATCGTTAGACAAAAGCCCACGCACAATAAACACCTCATCCTGCCGTTTCTTTGACAATGGTTCAAGCAACTGTGGTAAGAGCGATTGAAATACAAAGATTATATATACGTATATACAGGTGCTGAAATGAAAAGAAGTATTGAACCTGCTTATATTGAAAAAAGGTTTTCTCTTTGATTTTTGTGAAGTTGCCTTTCACAAAATTAAAGTGAATTGAAATATCATTTATTTAATTAAAATATTAATTAAAAACTATATTACTAAAAATATTATTGTCTAATTAAAATACTAATTAAAAACACAAATAGTTTTCCGACATAAATATTATTCTAGAATCCGTTCAAAATTACACTCTTGAAATTCCCTCCTTCCACAAAAAATGCCACAATTAATACCCCATAATAGTGTCCTTTCTTTTTTATAACCACACAACTTTTACAACAGGAACATTATTTTTATAACTCTAATCCCTTGCAAGGTATTTCCATTTTGAAAGATAAACAGAAAAACAAAAATTCTATTCCATTTTATTACATGCTTTTTTTTTCACTTTTTTCTAAAACAGTGTATCTCGAATTTATTAATAACATTAATATATCTCTCGTGTTCGTTCAATAATAATTCATTCAATTAGCGGATGTTTATGTACTTATGGACATTCAAAAGATGTCCATTGTGCTCTTAAAGAAACATCCTAACCTAATTATCACGTGAAATGGAAACCAAGTTAAATGAAGGAGAGGACTTACGCGATTTGACGATGAACAACACGAACTCTCGAATACGCGAACGTTATATCTGATTTGAAGCTTATATAGAAACGAGCCGGTAGATCTTCCGTGCATCACCGAGTGATCGTGCACTTTGTATGTTTACAAAGGCGGATTGTTGTTCCGGTTGTCGCAACACTTCCACCCGGACGTTCAACGGCACGAACTCTCGCGACGAGCAACAAGGAAACGCATTCTGGCCAGTTGTTTACTAAACAATAAGAAAATTCTTCGCTTGTTAGACGAGTTTCTTCCACTCGTTTAATCGTTTTATGCAATCGTGTTGTACAAAACTACGTGTGACGAAGCACGTAGTCCTTCAATTCCTCGAGATACATTGTATTAAATTACACCGTGACCTGATCGTAATATTAATAACACGTTAACACGACTATTATTTTGTCAATAATTTAGCAATACCAATTGTAGAAGGAATGTTAAACATCCGATCTGTCGTGAACTTTCCGGGTTCGAGACGCAGAAGAAAACAAAAAAAAAAAAAAAAATGTGACGATTCTTCTTCATTGCAAAATTCTTCCTGCATTTCGTCACGTGGCGGAAGCACAATCTCCTCGTGTATATAACTGGCGTAAATCACTCGGACTTCTCAGTTTCGCCTCCGTGAGAAATACTATGCACATCCAGGGACAATCTGTCTTTCCACTGTTCACGACGTCGGCCCTTCTCGTGGCCATTCTCGCGTTAACGAGCACCGTGTACGCGACTTTGCCCGAGACCGTGAAATGGACCGGTGGGAACTTCGAGTGGCCCTGCTCCACCTCGAGAAACATGTTCAAAAGCAGCGGGA